TTCTAATTTTAAGTGACTTTGATTTAGCAATCGTGGACTTTGTAATTCCGACGTTCCGCCAATCTTATCTTCGTTGAAGAGATTAAGAATTCCTAGCGAATTACGATCTCGCGTTTGTCCATAGTTTGACTGTGGTAATTGATGCAAGATTTATATATGCTTTTGAGACGACGTAATTAAATATCATTAATCGCCGTGAAAGAATAAAATATATTGTCATCTTCACTCTTTGAATGCATTACCTATTTTCGTGTAGCGTATGGCAGAAAAAGAAAAAACACTTTGAAGAAATCACATAATCCTAAGAAAATGAAGAGACTAAGTGAAATCATGGAAATCGAACATCTTCCAACTTTGTGCTTCTTCTGTTAGCTTAATCAATGTCCGTTCGGACAAGAATAGAGATTCGGGGGATTCCAGGAGTGCGCTTGCGAATTAATGAGATAATCGGCGATATTTCGCAAGACGCATTATCGCGGCGTGCAACACGCGCGAGTATGCGCGAGTCTATGCTTGGCATTTGGTGCAGCTATCTGTGCTGCCAACTGCGGCGGTTTTCAAGGCGACCGGCCAGAAGGCCAGATAAGGTAATGCCCCGGCAATGGTAAACCCGTCCGAGTTCACACGCGGGATCCGACCCGATACGCGTCGATCATTATCTAACACGCCACTGTATAATGCAATTATTTGCGCCGGTCGTATAACCGGTCTCCGGTCCGCATGCAGATAACTTGGGCGACGTGACAGCGATGCATCGAGACGCACAACGAAATTCACATCTTCTATGCCTCTCGCTCTCTCTATCTTTAGGATAATGTAACGCGTAACGAAACTTTCTTTTGCCGGAATAATCGTATGGCGCGAGAGAATTGAACGACACATATTGCATATACTATAACGGAATATAATCGTAGTCGTTGGGTAAGAAGAAATGTTCCAGAAATTTTTTTTCTAGATATATATATATATATATACACACATCTTATGAGACTCTTCATCTCGATAACTTTTTTTGCGGTAATAAACTTCAATTCTTCGTTCGAAGAACTATTCATCTACAGTATCGTATCAGAGAGATGAACGACGATCGAGAAACTTGATACTTTCACACTTTACTCTAGATTAAAGCTGTTATATTATCTGTTACTTCGTGAGAACGGTTATTATCGTGGATTTACATGAAAGTTACAAGTTCAACTTGATTGCCGTTGCACCTTGGCATACGCGGCCATCTCATTTAACTCAAATGGGATCATCCAGTTATTAGTTTAATATCGCAATCGCGCGGGAAAGCTGCTTATAAAATCCTCAGGTGTCAGGTTATTTCTACACTTTCTACCGATTGTGACAAATGTTGATAATAAAGTACGATGTCCGACAATGATAATTAATAATTCTGATATGATTTTAATGAACACTATATTAAGCTAAATTTTCATTATTGCACTATTAGGCACTCATGTGTGATGTATAATAAAATTAAATGAATACTTTTCTCTTCGGTATTATTTAAATTATTTAACATTTAACTAATATCTCCTAATAATTATTTAGCTAACTTCCACTTAACTATATGGAAATTGTTTATTTTCCGAGAAAGCAAATTAATTCTGTTACATTAAACTAAATTGATAATAAAATCTACTATATATTTATATTATTTTGCTTTTTTATATTATTTTGCACATTACGTAAAAAATTTCAAAGAACTTACTCTTAACTATTTCTATCGTTTCCATTGCATTAATTCTATTTCTCGGAAAACGCTTTGCTCGAATGTTCTTAAGTACGTTTTCTCTTGCCTCGATCTTTTGCATTTTATTTCCATCGTATACAACAGGGGAGGCTCCCTTCCCGCTGTACAATAAACGTTTCTCCCTTTCAAATTCTCGTCTCAATGTCGCCGGAGAAAATGTCGAAGCCGCCCTTCGTGGCGCCCAGCGGCGCCCAGCGGCGCCCAGCGGTGTCGGCGCCGCTATTTCGCGCCCGCAGCAACACGCGTTCGTCCGCAACGCGCGGTTCGCCACTCGGTGCAATTATCCAGGGCGGTTCTTTACCTACCTGCCTGACTGCCTGCCTACGTACGCGCGTACGTGTGCGTGCGTGTGCATGCACGTGCGTGCACGTGCGCGCATACGCGCCGTGGTATGCCTCCGAGCAGGTACAAGCTAGAGCAGGTCACTTTCGCCGCTGCCGCCTCTTACACACACAGTGTGTTCCAGTCGTCGCGTACGCGTGCTGCTCCATTCATAAACTTATAGAAGCGGCGGCACCGCCGTGATCCTCTATCACGTAGGTGTGGAGGATCGCCGGCGAGCGGTAAACGCGAGCTTGCAAAACGTGTATATAAACGCTATCTCCGCCGCAACGTCGTAACGTCCGGCGATCTTCCACATTGGATCTTTGCGCGTGGAGCCAATCGGAAGGGGCTTTATTTTGAACGTCGGAACGTCGGTATTCTTAGTATATAATAACTAATAACCAATATCTCACGTGTTATATTTATTTTTGTCTATCGACGTGTTATATTTGTTTTTAGTATACATATATTCTTCGTGCTTCTCTGTAGTGCCACGATCGCATTGTGAGAAGAATCGCATACTAAAATCGCGACTACAAGATCGTGAAACTTGCGACTACATAAAAGATTATTTCATGAGATTTCTAGGTTTATGTAATATAATTACATTTAATAGCAATATACGAAAAATATTTTAGTTTGTATATCAAGTTTCTAATAATTTGAATTTTCATATACTCGATAAGGATCGTTTATTCGAGCATGAATCAGGCAGCATAAAGGGACGGCGGACAGGTTCATGACGATCTCTAAACGATCGCCGATCGGATCGCCGATGATTTAGGATCACGATCGATAAGGCGATCGCCGTAGACGCCTCTGGCCGAGTTTTATTGGTACGTCGTCGTCGTCGTCGTCGTCGTCGAGGAGTCCGACCCGCGATGAAACGGGCTGACAGCGATAGATCGATCGATCCGTAGATCAATAGCCGCGTTGCTCCGAACCCGACGCATCGTCCATCGGCTGTGTTACGTGCAAACGCGCGGTGGCCAATAAGATGAAAAACCGTAAATACACTGACCATTTTGCGCGTGCTGTATCCTATTAATGTCGATCATGTGATCGAGAATATGAGGAAGAATTATCCTCCCGCAATTCGATTCGTAGTTCGATATAATTTTTTATTAGCTGTTCTATAAAATGATGATTTTCATTTTACATATTTTAACATTTATGGTGTGATATATTTTTGTATATAATCACATCTTATTAAATTTATAATAAGCGAAAAATGCTGTGCCTATTTCAAAAATTCTTATTATGATCGAAGTTGTTTTATATTTTTAATTTTGTATTATCTATTTTAACGTAGAGGTACTTTTAAAAAAGTTTATTTCTCACATAGTTCATTGTACCGATGTATAGTTTCAGGTTGTAGTAGTATGTTCATAGAACTGCTTCGTTCAATAATTATGTTAAAAGTTTAACTATTCTTGAGACCATATGTACTATGAAGTTTTTGAAAACTTTGCCTCAATTTGTCACAGTACGAAGTATGTTTATTGATCGCGATATGCTTTATTAATGTGATAAATTTGCTGTGAAAGCATGCTAACAAAGATAGCAACGTGTTCTTTATTTGTGTCGTTTATAACACGTTTGCATTTTATTATTTGATCTGTAATCAATTATTTTTTTACCTTCGGATAAACATTTGGTAAACACAATAGTAATCATTTCCTGTTTGCCATTGAAGGTTTCAAGTTTCGATATACAGCGAAATAATATGTTGAAAAGAGAAACATGTATTTTATATAAAATTACATAATACGTTATATCAGATTTTAAATATCAATAACTGATTGGATTATTAAGTAACAGATATTTGTGTATAAAAATAATCATATGTTAATAAATCAAGTTTTAATATTACAACAGGTTTTATTTTTAAATTAAATTAAAAATAATTACGTCGATAAAAAATTAATATAGTATTCTTACAAATTTTCCTTTAAAATTAGAAAAGAAAGAATGTAACATTTCTTAGAATTATTTCATCAAGCTTTTGTTCTTGTTTTGAGACGAGATCTAGACGATCTTATAATCATTTATCGATTGATCGATGTTCGAAAGATGATCGTGAGGAGCATGGAAATGGTGCGAGTACTTTTGAACTACGGTGTACTCTATTTCCTCGGGTATTAGCGCTAATCGATTATACCGTGACCGATCGAATGATTTAAATAAAGACCGGGTGCGTCACGGGCCCGGCCTGGTACATTCGACCGCGCCTCGCAAAATGATGCCGTTGCATTTGCTCATTCTATTATCTGATCCGCTACGTTTTTCCTGGTGACACGATGGCTCATGCTAGATCATCGAAACAGAATAACAGAGATCAACACTTCCGCCTTACTAAAGCACCGTGCCAATTTGAACGTCTTTTCTTTGTACAGTTACCTTCAATTTGCGTAAGGCACATCTTGCGAATTCTGAAAATATTTGCATTATTATTTTTCAACTTATAATTCATACAGATTACGTATGACGTAATAATAATGGCTCAGATATATTCTCAGATAATTCTCAGATCTATATTCTGTAATTTTAATAACACAGTCTTCAGTAACGATATTGTCAAATATTATATTTTTTAATTTTTAAATGTGAATGTTGATTGCTCTTTTAACTGTTGGAAAAAATTAATATAAATAAATTAGAAGTCGTTGAGTTTATTCTTATAAAATATACTTTCCTTACTCCTGGAGATATGCAATTGAGAATGATAACGTTTGCGAAATTCAACTACTAATTTGAAACGAGTAACCTCTATTTCGGTCTGCTGCGGCTCTCGTCCTAAATTTGTACCGTTCCGCCACAAAGGCGACCGGAATTATGATTTCCGCGACGCTAGTTACGTTCCCCAATTTCATCAGGCGGCAATTTCTAATGCGGACGACGACGCATTTGTATGTTGCAGGTGACACGGGAGCCGAACGGGCCAGTATTCATGCCAGTATGCCAATCGAATGCCGGTAGACGACCGATATAACCGCCGTCATACCGATAGCCAATTAATAAGTTACTTAGATAGATCAATTAGTAGTTCATAGTAAGCTCGGCCAACGGAGATACGCCGATTAATCGTGATCATATAGCGATTATAGGAAACGCGAATGTGTTAAACCCGCGTTATTTTTCCGTACGCCCGTGTAAGCAATAAGGATCGTGTTTCGCAGATAAACACTCACGCTTATCGTACTTCTATCAACGACAATAATTTCTAACGGTGTTCTTCCGCCCGCGTCATCGAATTCGAGCGGGCGGGTAAAAAGGAGAAAAGGGAGAAAATCCGGTGTAATCGCGGTGAAGTGATCGACTGTTTTTCGTGCGGCTGTGGAGTACTACGAGGGACAGTCTGCGACGCAGAAGTGGATGCGGACACCACCCCGGCGATCATCACGGTGGCTGGAAACGCTGACTTACATCGGGAGCGCCAACGTGCAATCAAGGTTCATGGTTTTCATGGTGAGTCACGACAGTCTATTTCTATCTTTTCCCTTAACGTTCTTTTTTTCGTCGAGGCCTTCTTTCTCGCTCGCGTCCCGCGCGCGCGGTCCTCTTTCCGCCCGGGCTTCTTTCATTCCGAATACTGAATCGGTCTAGTCGCGTCTGTCCTCCGGTCAATGCCACGTGGAATCAATTGACCACGGCCGCATCTCTCCCCTCGCAATTAAGCGCCCATGTTGAAGGGACAACTCCATAAACGAGCCTATCGTGCTTTCTATGGCTGCCTAACCAAGCTGTCAGGTTCTTCGAACTTCTTTATCTCTCTCTTATGAGTTATCTCGATATTCGTAATACTGAATTTTTGTCAATATGACATTAATTTAGAATATATTAAATATTTATAAAATATGTACTTTTTAAATAACATTTAATTAACTTTTTAATAAAATTTTATTAACTATTTTTTATTATACAGTATTAGACACTATTGAAATTTTTACTTAAAAAAAAATTGGTATCAAATTTTGGAAAAATTGCGATGACGAAATTGTAATTAATAAATTTAGTTACCTCTTTTTGATGAATCCTTCGCGCGGTAGCACGGCCGATCGTCGTTTGACATTCACATACGGAGCGGAGTTGCGATCAAGCGGAACGAATGCGAGCCCATGAGACTACCGTGAATTCGTATGTGTGTGTCTCGGGCCATCAGTTTACTCCTGGCCCCATTGAATACCTTCTTTACGCATTCGAAACGTTCCATTTTATACGGGCGCCACCCAGAATCGATCGCGCGGTTTCACGAGGTCGCGACAAATGAGCGCGTATACTCGCGCGCATTTTAAATCCCGCCTTTATCGAGTATCGACGTCGCGCTGCAAATGCTGCGCCGAGCGATTTGCATAATTCTCGCGCCGGCCCGCCTCCGCGTCGTCTCGTTATCTTTACGCGCGCATCGTATCGTGTCGCATCTCGGCGACGCGACGAGAAACGTTGGATATTAAAATTACGCACACCGCGGGGATATCGGTGAGCGGTGAGATCGGACCGTAAATACGTGTGTAACAGGACTACCGACTGTATCCTTTGCGTTGCCCCCTCCCCCCGCTCTCTCTCTCTCTCTCCTCCCCTCCTCCTCCTCTCTCTCTCTCTCTCTCTCTCGTCGGCCCCCGTCCCCTCCTCTCTCTCTCTCTCTCTCTCTCTCTCTCTCTCTCTCGTCCCGTTGTCTCTTCGATTTTATTCCCCCGACTCGCCCCTCTATTTTAAGCATCGCGCGACACTCGTTGGGTCAGTGCCTCCACCGTCCGATTCCGTACGTTTCTTCCCGCGCTGTATTTCACCGTAAGGCCATTCGGTAATGAGCACCGCCGTCGTCGGATGTAGCACGTGTCACGCGCGATTTGCATAATTGCGTCGTCGACTTCTCTAAGTGCCGTGCGCGCCGCCTCATTATCTTTATGCTCGTCATATTGCGCCCGAACGCGCGGCGACTTCGTCGAGACATCGAACTTACTACACTTCGAGCGTTTCGAAACGACGACGGCTCGGAAGGCGGAGATCGCGTCGACATGCAAAAACATCCTCGCGCAAGGAAGAACGTCGATGTCGTCACTCGCCACCGGCTGCTTCCCTCGATTCATTTATATTTGTCTCATTATTAATTATCTTTTAGCGCTTGCGTTTCCCTCGAGCCGCGCGAACGGCTCTTCTAACGAACGGATTCGATGTGAAAATCTCGTCTCGATTTTTATTGGCCCACACGCGCAAAGGTTTTGCAGAATATAACTCACGTCGTACGCGACATCGCGTTATCTTTATGTTAGCGTTATCGTGTTTACATCGAGTTGGCGCGAATGCACATCGCATTTCCGCATTCGTCCCGAAGCTTTCGGAAGATTCTGCTTCGAGAAATGACGCGATTCGCATCTGAGAACTCTAATTAGGAATCCTTTCCTGCAAGTTATTTCGGTAAAATAATTCTGGATAAATACTCTGTAATTGTGAGACATAAACGTGTAACGAAACTATTTTTTTTTTTTTTTTTTGAAAGTTGGCAATACGCCATAAATGCCGAAAATATTTTTAATTCCGAATTTAAATTGACGCTCGCTATTCTCTGTATCAAAATTGCCCGTTTATTTCTTGCTGCTTACACTTCGCATCTTATATTTCACTGCGTTTCTCGCCTCCATTCTCCGTCCAGATAATTCATCTCGCTCACAACCGCCGGATGATTTGCTGGCGCGAAGATTTCGATGCGAGTCTGCGGCGTGTTACGCAAATTAGTTAACGTGACCGGACGTAACCCCGGTGTTATTTATCCCTCGCAAAGAGGTAGCCTGGTGGGCTAATTAAGAAAAAAAGCTGGATAAGGATCGATTCCGTCGAGAGGCGATCCGCGCGATCTTGCCTGGGTATTTCACTCGAGATTATTTCGAGGGAGAAAGAAGGAGGGGTTCGGGAAAGGGACAGGATTGGGGTGAGAGGAACGAGGCGAGACGTTGCGAGAAGACCCACCGCCGGGTTACGGGTCAGCCGCAGTGGAGCATTAATAATCGTTTACAATCTTTAAGGCAGGGTGTGGCGAGTGCGTTCACCCTCGTCTTCCTCTTCTTCCTCCTCCTCTTCCGCCGTTCTTCTCTTCTTTCGCACTGTGCAGACGAAGTGGAAGGGAAAGAGCCGATCTGCCTTCATAAAACATTTACGTAAGAACACTGTATATACTAGAATACTAGAAAAAGTGTGACAGTACACTTTTATTATTAGCAATATTTCGGTCGAAAATGGAATATCGTGAATTTCTTTATTTCTTTATTTTTTAAAAACCATATGTTTTTAAAAACTGAAATTGAAAAATGAGGAAATCTTTCTGTAAAGAAATAAAATAAAACAATTATAATTTTAAGATAGAGAGCAAAAATGAAAAACAAAATAAGTAAGAGAAAGATAAAAAAAACAGAAATTCATGTTAAAATTGAAATGATTAGGATGCATTTAAATTTGTTCTCGCAAGTATATCTTAATGATACGAAGCAAAATTATGTAGCTTTTAATTGATAAGAATAAATAAGTTTATATTTCAATCGAAATAGTTATAAACTTTGCACTTGACAGGTTCTTCTGATTTAAGCACCCTAAATTGCGCAAAGTGATGATATTTACGGTTACTGAACTGCAATTTCGTGCCTTTTGCGTTTTACTTGCGTTTTCTCGTAGCAGTTTACGCCCGTAATTGCGAGGTGTGTCGATGCCTAGGAAACATTGTAAGATTATCTGCAGCATTAGTATGTTGGTGGGTATCAATTTACAATCGGTTCGATTAGTTTAGTTTCAGGATTGCGAGGTATTGATTGGAAACGAGAAATTAACACCATCGTTGAAAAAACTCGATAAATCTATATATACGGATTTTACGAGTGGATTTGATCTTCGTCGAGTAAAAAAATATACATTTTTATTTACATTCTTAGGTTACGTCAGTTATAAAATTAAAATATATTTGAAAATGTACAAGATAATTAAGACATAAATTTATAAAGAGATAGTAAATGCGTTGGCTGTATTTTTTTATTGATTTCTTCTCCGCTTGACGATTTTTATTATCCAATAAATTTATATAAATTAATTGTTCCGAAACAAAGAGCTTTATCCTTTTTTGATGCCGACACTTCATAAAAGTATCTTTTTTAAAATATTGCACTCGATTCGGAGGCTTCGAAACACAGATCTTAAAGTGATTTTACTCGTGGCTGCTTTTATGTCCTGCGACAAAATTAATTCTCATCGAATCATCGGACGGGCAACCATCGAAAAATTCGCTGCGGTGTGCGATAAGGTTTTTTTTCGTGCGTTATTAACGACGGTGATAAATATGCGCGAATGGCAACCCCGTTCTTCTCAAGAGTGCGACGAATCGGCGATCGGGTTCTCGGCACGCCGGCACGAAAAAAGCGTCTCCGTGGAACCTGTTTTATTATCGGCCGCGCGAATCCACGTTATTTCGTGAAAATTGTTGGTTATCTCGCGAGAGAGAGAGTATAAAAGATATTGGTTTCGTATTCTTTCATAAAAAGCACCCTATAGTTACAAATTATTTTATGAATATAACGTATATATTTTTACACTTAAATTACATCATCATGGTCATAACATAGTAAATAACTTTTTATTGTAAGCTCCATACAAATTTTATGCAATTATTCTTATGTATTGTTGTGTTTCAAAGAGAGAGAAATATCTTTTTATTACATTTTTAATTGTAATATTAATTGTAATATTGAACGATATACTTTTTGACCTTTTTTTTTTGTCAAATAATTAATTTTTTCTTATAATAAGATGTCTTAAAGAAAAAGAAAACATGAAAATTCGCAGACTTCCCATGAAATCATAATTTCCGAATATTCCGGACTATTATTAAATCGGTAAGCGATAAATAAGTTTTGGTTCACGACGTGGATTTTTTTCGATTTTTTTTTCTTCCTTTTTGCAAGGCGATGAATCGACAAAAAGCAGCCCTCCCGGCAACTGTGTTTCTCCAACACGCGTACGATTCGGGTTGTCCCGGAATGAAAATTCGGCCGTCGGCCGAATCGGTCGTCGGCCTCCCACTCCTCTGGATGATCTACCATGCAGTGGTCGCCATCGTCGCCACCTGCAGCGACGGATCAGCATATTTAGCATCCGGTCGAATTTAATAGACGCAGTGCATCGCGCGCCTGCATTCGCGAGACGCATTAATAACATCGCGGTGCATAATACATATGCCACGGTGGCGTTTTCTGAAAATGCCGCTATTGAAATTCGATACGAGACACACGCTGTTTACATATTAGTGACAGTTATCGAAACGTCCAGACTAGATAATGCTGTAACAATTTTATATATATATATATCACGATAGAGAGCGGAATTCAGTTACAGTTAATTTAGTCAATTCGGTTTCAAATATCAAAAAAGTTAATTATACATATAGGTTTACATATAGGTTTTTCTAATTTTCATTACTACCACCAGTT